CCGGCCTCAGCTATTATAAAGAGGGCGTATCGGGAAAGTGATGGCTCTATCAGACTGCACAAACAGCGGCGTTTCTGCATTTTGTGTTTCACGAATTTACTTAGAAATGACTCTTAGGGGGGAGTTCTGTCAACCTCGCATGACAAAATTATATGTGAAGACGTGTTGTATTTGACTGTCGAGGCCGTTGCTTAAATGCAGCAGCCATGACATTAAAGTAATCTCCGTTCCTTGCCGTATAGTCAATTTTCAAAAGACATAATTGAATTAAGAAACCAAACGAAAGCATTGGGCGAATAAGACGAATGAAAACCCCATCAATGATTCTAAACCATTTGATGCATTTATATCCACTTAAGTTTCGTAAGGGTAGAATTCAAATCATCTCACACTCCATGGACATGTCTGAAGTCGGTTAACCCCAGTCCTAACCCCAATAGGAAGCCCCATAGGCCTTCATCAATTCTAAACCTTTTCATAACTATATGCTTATCTTCTTACTTCTTTATTAAAGGTCTGTATCATTCATTCAAGAAGTGCACTCGGTCCGCTTTTATCTATTTAGAGTCTTGGGAAATTGGTTTGGTTTCCCCGAGGTGGGAGGGAGCTTTATTTCCTGCGGCTGTGGTTTATCCTTCACGTAATCACCAAGTTTTTCTGTAATCTCCGCTTCTTGACGACTATATATTGGATTTTACCCGTGGTTCCCTGCGTACCTACGATTATTACCCTTGGCGGCGCACTTCGGTTAACTTAATTTCTTTTCTTTACAATTATTTACGGACGGGATTAATGCATTACTCACTCTGAAGGTCACGCCGCCCTTCGGGGTCCACTAGAAAACGATCATTACTCCTAACGATCGACCAATCAGGGAGGGTCTGTCATAACTTTTGGTAGATCATAGGGGTCCAGGGATTCGAACGCGTAGTGGGCATGCGCGTGCCTGGGGTCTGTGTGACATACACAGAGATGTGGATGACTTGTGACAAGGATTTTGGCGGGAAGCATCTATCTTGTGTCAAATTTCCGCTATCTTCACTAGCTCATCCTCCCGCCCGGATTTTGTCCTGATCGTAATCCGAAGTCCTCCATCGTGAACCGTGACCAGACTACGGACGGACAACTTTGTACACAATTTGTGCCGCGATTATTGGATTTTCCGATGTCTAATAGGGAGTGATAGGTGTTGATTCAGGGAACCCCGCATTGATTGAGCTACAAAACTTGGACTAAACTTTGTTATAGAGCTTTTTACGAGTTAGAGCAGTTGGATACGTACAAAATTTTATTCCATCCTTGCACATTGAAAGCACTCAATAGTTTGTGTAGATGTTAGGATGGAAGTTGGGATATTGTCTTGCTGGACCAACTACAGTCTACTGTCAAAGTTAATCTCCAAGCAGACCCCTTTCGGTGGCAAGGCAGTATCTATTAGCCAGAGACGGTCGCCGGCCACCGACGGGGTAGCGACAAAAACGGCCATATATAAAAAGCTAACGATCATTCCCCCACAACCTCTGTTTGGAGAGTATGTCAAGGTAACGTGTTAGGGTTAAAGATGTCAGAATTCATATCCTACCATCTGTAACCTGTAAATTGCTACACACCACGAATTTCTCTGTTGAATAGTCGTTGTTTTAATCGTTAATTCTTATGTTAATTATTTAATCAGTTTAATCTGTAACATCTACCTGAATTACAGGTATAAGACTTTTGTTTAATTTCGTTTTAGTTAGTTTATACACTTCAGTTATTATTTCCGTGTCTTGATTTTGTTTAATTAATCATTGTTTAATTATTTCATTGTTTAATTTTGATGTTTAATTTAAATATGTTTTGTCATAAGTTATCTTTGCTTGGGGTAGGCCTCTAGAAAAACCACCCAGGTTTCTGGCCTACCCCGCACATTCTTTGATTATTATTATTTGATTGTGTAATTGTTTTTAACATACGTGCAAATGGTAAATAAACAATAAATAAACAATAGCCTTACAAACACAGTTCCGGTTTGTAG